ATGTTCAACATCAATTCCAAGAGACATGCGATATTCATTAAAGGCTTGTGAAGTAAAATCACCAGCATTATCTAAACGTATTTTCTCAATAGAATAATCAAGAAAGTGTGCTCTTAATCTAATGAGTTGAGCAAGCAATCTTGCAAATGCCAAGTTACGAGAAGATAACAAGCAAACATGCGACCATTTTATTGATGCATCAATTAAAACCATAAAGTACTTGAATGGTCCGCATGATGGGTGTATAAGCCCACAAATATCACCTTGTATGTGTTCTAGAAATGTGAGAGACTCACTTTCTATTTTTGTTGGTGATGGTCGAATAATTAACTTTCCTTTAGAACATGTAGCGCATGAAAAATCATGGGATTGTGGAATCTGTTGACCTTTCAATGAATGTCCACGTGATTTTTCGATTATCTTTCACATCATAATTGACTTGAGATGGCCTAACTGGTCATGCCAAACATTAAATTTATTACTATTTGTAAACTTTTGGTTTACAATAGCATGTATTTCAATTGTATTAATAAATGTGTAGTACAAGCCAGAAAAAAATGTAGGTAATTTTTTTAGTGTGCACTTTTTACCAGAAATTAAATTCATAATAATAAGGTATTCTTTATTTCTTCTTCATTTGCTGTCTCAATATGGTATCCATTTCTGCGGATATCCTTAAAACTCAATAAATTTCTACTAGATTTAGTAGAATAAAATACACCATCAATGTGTAATTTAGTTCCTCTAAGCAACAATATATTAGCTCTTCCAGAGCCATCAATCATCTTTATACTTTTGGATATAGTTTGAACATTAGCCTTTTGCATTACCAAAGATGAAAAATATTTTTTATTTTTGAGTATTGTATGAGTTGTTACACTATCAACGAGACACATATCTCCATTATTGTCGTTGTTACCAATCAAATGAATACTCATTCTTCATTAAGAAAAACATAAAAATATATAATTAAAATATGGAATACAAAAACTTTATTCATTAAAAAACAATAACATCATAAGTAAATTCTCTAAAAAATTATAAGTAAATTCTTTATTCCAATGCAAGAAAATTAAAATGACACTTAATTATAAAATTTAACAATATCAATATCTAAAACATTTATTTCTGAACATTTTCATCCCCAATCAGGTAATCAATTCTTCCATTAGCATCGGCAAAGAAATCAGCAACATCTAAATGAGTAGCATCCATGTCACCATAATTAGAATCACCTTCTTCAGAAGCAAAATATGTTTCTATCTTTGCCTCTTTGTTTTTACTTTTACTTTTAAGCGATTCTTGGTGAAGATCAATCAAATGTTTTGGAGTATGACAAGTACGTGACCAATGACCTTTATCACCACAACGATGGCACAAATTTTTAGTATTATTATTATTATCCCCACTTATTCCTTTATTTTGTTTCTCTTCATTGTTTGTCCACTTCTGATGGAAAGATGTACTATCACGACCGCAACCACGGCCACAGCCATGACCTCGTCCACAGTTATGGCCACAACCACGGCCATAACCTCGAGTTAATTCGTTTGGCACTACATTCGCTTCAGGGAATGGGGTAGAAACAATTGGATGAGATTCATGATTTTTCATCAAAAGCTCCTTATTTTGTTCAACCACAAGAAGACAAGAAATCAATTCAAAATATTTTTTAAAATCTTTTTCACGATATTGCTGTTGCAGGAACACATTGGATGCATGAAATGTGGAGAATGTTTTTTCTAACATATCATCATCAATGACTTTTTCTCCACATAATTTTAGTTGAGAACTGATTTTAAAAATTACAGAGTTATATTCACTCACAGATTTAAAATCTTACAAATGTAAATGCATCCAATCATAACGAGCTTTTGAAAGAATTACAGTTTTTTGATGGTCATACCTTTCTTGTAAACTATTCCAAAGAACAAGAGGATCTTTTATAGTTAAATACTCAGTTTTTAACCCTTCATGTAAATGGTGACGAAGAAAGATCATGGCTTTAGCCTTATTTTGATTGGATGCTTGATTACCATCCTTCATTGTGTCTCTAAGACCATTGGCATCTAGATGGATTTTTGCATCTAGTATTCAAGATAGATAATTTTTCCCAGTAATGTCAAGAGCCATAAACTCACGTTTCGAAAGATTCAACATATAGATACTATAATAAAAATATGATCAGAGTTAGACAATATTCAAGATTAAACAAGATTAAAAGGATCAAATGGTTAGAAAATATATCAAATCATATATGAATATAAAAATTACCTTGCAATGAGAAACCTTGCTACAAAACCTATAGATTATCAGAGCTCTTGTGCTGATAATGTGTTATAAAATTAACAACTAAAAAATAAAGATATTGAGAGAAAAAATAGAGACAAGATAATGAGAGAATTTCTTATGAATTATTATCCTTCAATACAAATTATATGCCCTATTTATAAGCATGGGCTTACACATTAAAAGTTACATAAATGATAAAAGCAAATAAAGGATAATTAACTCTCATGATGGTGGGAATTTCATGGGAGGGCAATCAACTCTCAAGATAGTGAGAGTTTCATGGGAGAAAATAAAGATGAAGAGATAATGAAGATGGACATCCACTATCCTTATAATATTCATAACAAATATTAAAGTATATTAATTATCACTGTAAAATATAAAATTTAGAACAAAACCATGCATTTCTAGATCCTAAAAAGTGAAACTTTACCTTAATTATTGCATAACAATGCAACTTAATTTCCTTCTCACCAAAAAAAAAAAAAAAAAGAAGAGGCGACTTAATTTCCTGGTCATCTTTGGCTGCGCACGTGACCACTTGTTGGATGAACACAAAGCCACGCAATAAGGTGTCGAATCATGAGGATCACATATTATGTCCAGGCTCCTAGAATCTTTTTGCTTAATCCCAAAGAAATAATATAATATTTTTTTAATAATATTCAATATAACACATATAAAACAATTTTTAGTCTTTTACATTTGGGAGTTCTATCGATTTGGACCCTAAATTTTAATTTCATTATTTATTATATTATCATCGCTGTGGTGGCTTTTTAATAGGTGATTAAGACTTGGCAAATTTGGCTGATGTGTTTTATTTAATCCACATGCATATTTCACGTTGGCAATATAATTTTCACTTTAGCTTTTTTTAGGATTATTCTGTCTTATAAAATTTAAAGGAGTGACTTGATAACTCAAGCAAACATTAAGTATTCAAATGACAAAAATTAAAGTTAAGAGATCGAATCATATAACTTTCAAATATAAGGAACTCAAAGTTGCTTTATCCCAATGTAATAATTCTAAAACTTTCTAATAGGAATGTGTAATAAATGCAAATTGATATACTTCATATAAGATGATTATGATAACTTCTCAATAAAAATATAAAATGAATTAAAATGCAAATTTCTAAATTAACTAAACACCCATTTTATCTTTAATGTAATTGAATTTACATAATTTGTGGCAAAAAAAAAGAAATTTTACACAATTTTTTTAAATTCTTTTGAAACATTTTGAAATTTAATAACATACACTACATGTTATTATAAAACATCTTCTAAAATAATTCTTTAATTATTAATATAAGTCATATAAAATGTTCTTAATTTAATTTTATCCCTATTGAAAATTACAATAAAAAGAGAATTTAATTTCAATATTACTCCCCAAATATTATATTTCGCTGTTCAATAGGGGCAAAGTTATTTTTTTTTCATTTTAAGAAAAAGTAAATAATAAGTTAAATGTCCTTCCTCAGCCTTGATAATAAGATGGTTAAAAATGACTTATAAAAGAGACATGAAGGAATGCTATATATTGAGTAAATATGCAATTTTTTCTAGAATAAAGTATATAGTTAAAGTATTAAAAGAAGTCATAAAAGAAAAAAGACTTGAAAAAGTGTTGATATAATAAGCTTATAATGTATAGACAACCTTAATAATAACTAATGAATATTCTAATAATGACTAATGAATACAAATACTTCATCCAAACTATAATGTATATGTCATTGTTAAATGTTAGTTGAAATTTTAATTTTTTAAAAATATCTACGTCTTTTCATCTATGCCCTTTCAAGAGTTCCTTATAAATTTGTACTTAAATATGTACTTCCTTTATCTCTATATATAAAACATTTTAATTAAATTTTGCATACTAATAAAGTTTTTTATTTAATTGAAAACTCATAAAATCATAACATTTTTTCAATTTTGTCCCTAATAAATGTCATAATTAATATTATCATTGTGAGCAAAGCACACAATTAATATCTCTTCTCTTTTTCAAGATAAAAGTAAAATTGTCCAATTACTTAAAATTTTTATAACACCATTTATATTTAGGAACAACATAAATATCTAGAAAATACCTTATATGCAGGGACAAAGGTAGTAGCATTTAAATACAAGGAACTAAAAAAAAAAAGAAAAGGGTATAAATAAAAAAATAAAATTTACCCAATATTCTATATTTTAGACAAAGATATTTCTAGAAAATAGTTTATATTGTGGTTTGGAGAGAATATTCCTTATTAAATCTCAAAAAAATAAATCTTAATAAATAATATCTCAACATAACAAATAACATATCATAACAAGTATATTTCTTAAGTTAAATAAAAACTAGAAGATATCTTTTAAACATAACATAGACAAAAAGAAAAATTAAGACCACAAGCTAAGAGAGAAAAAAATCTACAAAGTTACGGGTCCTGTACATTAACTTAATGAGCAGCCCCATAGGAATATTCTATATCTCTTGAGCTTCGCATCACCTTCGTTTTCCACCATCCATCATCGTCACCACCATAACTAATTTCCTTTTTCTTTCTTTCTTTCAATCATTTCAGTCTCACCCCTAATTTCCTGGAAACTTACATTTTGAAGCTATCAACGTCGCCCACTTCATATAAATATATGTTTAGGGTTTTAATTTATTCCTCATCATCATCATCAACCAGTTAGTGAATTGTCAAAACCATCTTCTTCTTTAATTCCCCAAATTAACTTGTTCTTTAATTATCTGAGATAATGAAGAGTAGAAGGCATCAGAAGAGCGAGAAGGGAATAAAAGTGACGTACATATCGAGCCCTATGAAGGTGAAGACGAGTGCTTCGAACTTCAGAGCTCTGGTTCAGAAGCTCACAGGGAAATGTTCCAATGTCGCAGAAGCTAATTTCATGGAGAAGAAGGAAGAAGCTCGTCAGAAGGATAATAATGGTGATAAGTTTATAACAATTAAGGGTTCATCGTCTTCGTCTTCGTCTTCTGATAATTCTTCTTCTTCTTTGGAGCTTAAACAGCAACAACAATGGAGGGTAAAAGAAGAAGCTGCTCTAGCTTGGATGAAATTACCAGATTATTCCAGTTCCTCAATGGTGGAGCCAGTGCTCAATGAACAACTTGTGTTGGATTTCTTGGGCTTTGATGCGTTCTAAATTTCATTTGTGTAGACTTATTTATTGATTTTTGATTTTTTAGTGAAAAAGTGTTTATGAATTATATTTAAAAGAAGAATTACACTCAAGTTCTTCACAACACAATTAAATAATGCAAAGTCAAGTGACAATCATCGTAACTGGACTTTGTACCATTTAATTGTGTTGTGAGGAACACAAATGTAATTCATTGATCTTAATTTGAATATCCTTGAATACTTCATGTATGAAATAGAGATATATAGAAAGAAAATCAAGATTCCTCTTACGTGGCTTTATGTGTTTGAAAGTGAGAGATCTTTTATTTTTCTAATTTTTATTTCTCTCTACATCATCACTATGATGAAGTATTTCAAAGGATTTATATTTCAAGAGGATTCAATTACCAATCAATGAGACCTCACATTGATATTGATAATGAGATTTAAAACCATGTGCTTGTGAAGAAATATATAAAATTATTGTACCTTTACTAATACGGTATCAATTTTCTTTGGCATTTATGAGCTAGTTGTTGTATAAAAAAATTTATGAGTTGAAATCTTCAACATGCTTTATTGTCAAATGGCATCAATTTTCATTGTTAGACGCTCTCTGTTTTTTTTTTTTTTTGGGTTACAGGGGATTAGTGATTGTATATTTTTTTTGTTGATATTAATAAAATTTGTCTTTTTTGCTCCAAAACAAAATTTATGACTCTAGTAGTAGACCAAAAAAAGAGAAAAAAAATACAATTATCAATCCTTATAATTTCATCGGGCTTTATTTTTAGTCTTTATACATTTTTTTTATGTTTTCAGTCTCGATAATTTCACAAAGATTGAGTGATTTTTATTTTTCAAGTTCTTATTGTTTTTATTTTTCAGTGTTTTTAGTCCCTATAATGACTAAAAACTCTAAAAAAAATTGTAGGAATTAAAAGTAAAACCCAATAAAACTATAAGACTAAAGATTATGTTTTTTCAAAAAAATTATAAGTTTAATTTTTAAATCTCCCAGAGTTAGTTGTTAATGGTATTAACATTTGTGTAAAGTTGGGAGAGTAATAAGAAAAAATATTGGGTCAAGTATGTTTCACACACACACACACAAGTTATGTCATATTCGAATTGTTTTTGTGGCATTGTTTTTTAATTAATCTCCTCAGGTGTGTGTGTATCAATGGAGTGGTGAAAAATATATATAAACTGTATAAATTATTATTACTTAGCTTGATATAAAAACACTTAAAATTAAGTAAAATATGAGTTTGAATTTAATATTATTTCATGATATTTTCTTTTTTATCATCTACATTAATATTGATGACTAAAGCATTAATTAATTAACTTTGTTTTACATCATTGTCCATTGGAGATACATTGTTCTATTATTTTTCAAAAACTATTGTTAATAGGCTAAGAATAGAAAGGTTGACGAGATACCTCATAACATTTTTTTAAGGTTGTATGAGACTAGATTTAAGATTTAAATATAATGCCTGATGTGTTGATACATACATATTATAATTCCAAATATTGAGCTATTTCATTAAGACAAAAGTTATAGAAGAGCATAAGTTTTTCTTTTAGCAATTATTTTTTTTATCAAATTAATTATCATGGATTTTGACAGAAGAGGGATCATTTCCTATGACAAACAAAATACTTGTCATTACATAAATCACTGTAAATATAATTATAGTTTATATTTTATTGCAAGAATGAGAAGTGCGCCGCATTTTGTCTTTTCATTTTTCAAAAAATAAGAGTATATATTGTCTCTGCATCATTTGATGCACCTATATAAAGATTTTTAATGTGACAAATTTTAAAATTTTAGAATACAGGTATTGGAGATATACATATATAATCATGCATATATTTAACAAATTAACATGTGGAAAATGAACAATATAAACACATTTGAGCTTTCAAAAGTAAGTTTTAATTCAAAGTTATTTCGGAACATTTAGAGGGGAAAAATCATTGAATTTAGAAATATATTGCATGTATCGTGAAGCACATGACGTATATTATATCATACATTTCTTGATCATTTTCTATAATTTTTGATCATTTTATTATAATTTTTAGTCTCTTTTATATAATTTTTGAGGGTAGTATTTTATCATTTTAGTCAACTAATAATTGAGTTAATTTTTATAACAATAAAAATTAAATTACACTATTTTTAAAAGTTTAAAAGGAATATTACACTAAAAATAAATTTAAGATCTCAAATACTTTTGACCATATAGTTTAGGAATTAATTTTTCATTTAATCCTGCTATCAATTATTTTTATATGATAATGAAAACAAAAAAAAAATCACTTTTTTCCCTTTCCTAGCATTTGCTACAAAAAAAGAGACCTCCATCAATTAATTAAAAAAAATTAAATATGGTATTGTTGGAAATTCATGAACTTGCAATGCTTTGCATGTGAATTAACAGTAGTAACCTAATGGTAGCTCCAACAATTTTAGTCAAAACTCGACCCAATAAGAACTTGCACCCACAAATTAAATTATCCTTTGTCTTGAATTTTAAATTTCAAACCCACCAAATTTGTCCAAGGATGGATCTACGGCAATATACATGATGCGAAAGATTTGAGGTTTTTGTTTAACAATAATCTTCAACGGTTCAAATGCAACAAAAATAATCTAGATTGATTTGAATTTTCATTCATGCCACAGGATAACAAAAGGGAGCTTGATAAGTTGGATATATATTTTAAATTAGAAATAATCAAACTTTTTAATTTTCATGTCATATTAATCATCGATTTGTGATCCATCAAATTTAATTTTTATTAAAATAATTCTGTGTATTTTCTTAATTCTTCACGTTAGCTACATTCTTTAAATTTTAAAATATAAATAAACTCTAAATTAATATAACATGTAAAGTATATTGATAACTTAACAAGTATGTGAATTAAATCAGAAAAAAAATGAGCCCTCAAATTCAGGTCAATTTTTATCAATGCTTATGTGTGTTCTTGTTATATATTATATATATATTCTGAAATTTCTTAGCTTATTTTTTATTACAATAAATAAGACATTCATTTCATTATTTATATGGATATGATCAATATTTATTATCCATGTTAGAAAATTTAATAATATTACCTCTTTTAAAAAAATAAATTAATAATTGGGACAAATTTAATGAATCAAATATATAAAAATTAAACTTGATAGAGCGAA